GCACAAAGAGGATAGTTTCAAGAATTCCTCACACTCATTTTGAACTTCTGAGCTGCCGTTGTTCCAACTCTTCCTTTTCCAGGGCACCAGACACTGCCCCCACCTCTGTCAGATACGCAGAGTGTAACTCATGGAGAGATAGATACTGTACCATTCCTGTGCCTTTTCCTCAATACCTCTGCCTCTCCACGCTCTTATTCTCTGATATTGCAGTTTTGGTAGCTAGCCCTTCAGAATATATTAGAGAATAGAAGTTGTTTTATGTTGCTGCTGTATCTCCCTGTGATTTGGACTTCAGCCTCCTTAAGGGCAGTGATGCTTTCTTCTTTGTATCCTTGGAATCCAGAAAGAGCCTTGGACCAGTACAGTGCCTGAGGACAACAGTCCCTGACTCTGTGGGGCACGTGAGTGATCCTGTGTGCTTCATCGCTTCCCATCCCTTCTTAGTTCCTGCTCAGTAGAGCCTCGGAAGTGCTAATCTCTACTAAGGATGCTTTTTTGAGCCACTTTATTCCTAAACCTTTAGCATCTTCTCATGTCCCATCAAATCTTCTTGGCTTCTAAGGTTTGTCACCCCGTCCCCCGTAGGCACTGCTGTCCTCCCAGGCTGACCCAGAAGCAGGCCTTCACAGGGTCTGGGTGTTCCTCGTCACTCGTGTTGATCTTCTGTCCCCGTCTTCACTCTTCCCTTCCTGCAATCCAGAACCAAGAGCACCTTCTAAACCGAGGAAAGCCGTGTAGCCCTTGGTGATTCCAGCCTGCAAAGGTGGCCCTGGGGCTCAGCAGTACTCACAGTGCAGCATTTAGCAGGACCTTCGTTGACTCCATGTATGTTTCTTTCCGGCTAGATTGTGCGCAGCTTGAGGGTCACTCCATCAGAGTGTACCTGAAGCCTTTCCAGACACGTAGGGCTTGTCAGTGTACTAGGGGATTGACAGAAGGCGCGTCTGCTTCTGTGATTGCCATCCTGCTGGACCATTGCGCTGCAGCACCGCCCCCAGTTCTAGAGTGGAAGGGGTGCTGTGAAAGAGGTATCTATCTAGTGACTCCGGGACAGCCCTGCTGCTGATTCTGAGTCATCATTCATTTGTGGTGACTCTAAGCCTTCTTTGTGATTCATATTCTAAAAATGGGGTGAGGTTTTTAAACTGAGGAACTAATTTCAGGCTGAACTTAGCCTCGTAATTACTGGGTTCCTTTGTAGGTTTCAGGCTGCTACTATAGGGCTTCTCGACGTCTGGCATCTGGAGGCTCATTGGATGTGGCTCTTCCGTGACAAATACTTGCAGTGCATCTCACAAGATTATGATAGGAGGCTTGCTGTAATGCACGCTCCACCAGCTTGTCCTGGGGCGACTCATTGTCTGCAGCCAGCCCGCATCTGATCTGGGCTGGGTAAACTAAGGAAGATAGGTCAGTCTTTGGATCCTGGATTTCTGGCTCTCTCTCTAGCTCTCTTTCTTTCTTCATTCTTGCCTCCCTCCCTCCTCCACCTCCTTTTTCTCCAGCATTGGGGTTTAAACCCAGAGCCTTTGGAATGTAGTGTCAGCCCTTTTTATTTATTTATCTATCTATTTTTAAATTTTGAGCTGGAGTCTCACTAAGTCACTAAATTGCCTAGGCTAAGCTCAGATCTGTAATCCTTGTATCTGAAGCTCCAAGAGTGCTGAGATTATAGATTAGATTCTTCCATACTTTTTTTAAAAAGTCTTTTATTGGGGGCTGGTGAGATGGCTCAGTGGTCTAAGGCACCTATTTAGAACAAACTAAGCTAAACAGAGCACAGGGACCGCGGTTCAATCCCCCAGCACCACATGCCAGCCAGCCCCGCCCCCTGGTGGGCTGAGCAGGCCACACACACTAAATAAATAAATAAATAAATAAATATTAAAAAAAAAGTCTTTTATTTATTTGTTTGGTACAGTGTCTCGCTATACTGCTTATAGTGATCCTCCTGTCTCAGCCTCCCCAGCGCTGGGATTGCAGGCATGTGCCACTACGCCTGTTTTTGGTGGCCAGCATGGCATGTGGCACCAGGGATCAAGCCTGAATCCTTGCACTTACCAGGGAAGTGTTTAGACAGCCAAGCTATCTCCCCAGCCCCATGCTTTGCTTTGCTTGCTTGCTTTTTATTTATTTTATTTTATTATTATTTTTTAAATATTTATTTTTATTTATTACATTTATTTATTGTGTGTGTGTGTGGCCAGCTCAGCCCACCAGGGGGCGGGGCTGGCTGGCATGTGGTGCTGGAGGATCGAACCGAGGTCCCTGTACTTTGCCAAGCTTGTTTCAAGTAGGTGCTTTAGACCACTGAGCCATCTCTCCAGCCCCTTTATTTTATTTTAATAAAATAAAATTTTATGGCCAGCTCAGCCTGCCCTGGGGGTGGGGCTGGTGTAGCACGTGGTGCCAAGGATGGAACTGCGGTCCCTGCACTTGCCTAAGCATGCCTAAACAGGTGCTTTAGACTGCTGAGCTATCTTGCTGGCCCCTATATTCATTTTTTGAGAGAGGGTCTCACTCTAGTCCAGGCTGGTCTTGAGCTCATTATGTAGCCTAGGCTTGCCTCGAACTCCTACGAGTCCTCCTGCCTCAGTCTCCTGCATGCTGGGATTACAGGTGTGTGCCACCATGGCTGGTTCCTTTCATACTTTCCTGATCTGTCTTGGTTCTTCATGCAGAATATGCCTATATCTGTAAAGAGGGACTATATCGTGTTTCATGTCTAGATGTCTAAAGCCTCTTGCAGTCTTTGATGGGGCTTTTTCAAAGGTGGCTGAATCTCGAGTATGTGATACAGTAATTAGGGTGTGTGGTTACTAAATCAGTCCAATGCTTGACTTGGCATTGCCCTAATCCCAGTAGCCTAGATGGAGTATAAACAGGGCAGAAAGATGCTGTTAAGGTTCCTTGTTCCTTTTGCTGTCTCCCACCTGCATTAGCCCCTCCTGCCATGTGTCACCTGGCCTTGGGGCCAGCTGATTATGAACTAAAACCTCTATAAACTGTGAGCTAAAAAAGCTTTACTCCTTTAACTTCAGGTGTTGGGTATCTTGTCTCGGTCTAACACAGGGTATTTCTGAATTGGCCTTCGAGGTTCTGTTTCTGAGCACTAGCGAGCATCTAGGAGACCTGCTTTAACAATGGCTGAGGGCTGGCGAGATAGCTCAGTGGTCTAAAGCACCTGCTTAGGCAAGCTTAGGCAAAGCACAGGGACCACTGTTCGATCCCCCTGGCACCACATACCAGCTAGCCCTGCCCCCAGGGTGGGCTGAGCCAGCCACAAAAGACAAAACAAAACAAAAAACACAATGGCTGAAAACCAGAATGTGTAAACAGCATAAATGGGGTGACTTTATGAAATCCGCATTCTGGGTCTAAGGCTTCTATTAACAAGCTCTGCTGCCTTGGTTGAGCTGTACAGCAAAGCAGCAGTGGCTGACCTTCACACGGAATCTGGAATGGGCTATGGGTCAGAGCCAGCCTGAGTAAGCTCGTCTGCCATCACTATCACTGTCATTGTCGCAGAGGGTTTACTGCACTTAGCCCTGAGCACTTGGCATGACTTATCTCATTTAATCCTAAGAGTTATGAGTTTTATTACTCTTGTTGTGTAGGGCAAACTGAGGCTTACAGAGGTTGAATTATGAATCCAAGAATGTACAAGATTCTAGCCAGGACAGTCAGTCTGTCTTCTAAGCCCACATCTCGGGTTCTGTCACTGTACTTGATTTCCTGGCGCCTGAGGTGTATCATTAGTAAAACTTAGGTGCTGCGCTCATCGCCTTTGAAACGCTCTCATTCTAAAATTTCTGTGCATTTTTCTCTTCCCCTTTACAGCTCCCTCTTCCCTCCCCTCCCCCAGCCACTTACTGCGGGTATCCGCCACGGGAGCAGCAGGATGTTTTCCCCACTGAGTTAGGACGCTGCGTGTGTCAGCACATGGCCTTCACTGTGGCTCTCTTTTTAAGAGGCCGGGGTGGGGAGTATGGGTTTACATGCGCTGCGGTCGAGAGAAGAGGAATCTGACTCTTCAGTTCTGTTGTGTTATCTTGGCCTGCAGCCATAACCACACTGAGTGACACAGTGTGACAGGGCTTGAGGAAAGCTCTGTAGGCCGAAGCGCCCAGAATCAGCACTGAGTGTGCGGGCCCCACGGTGCTTCGGTAGGATCTGGGCCAGGACGCTGCACTCTCTCTGGACATGTCTCGGCCGGGTTACTGAGGATCTTGGGAGAGGGCCTTGGAGGGGAGGTTTCCAAACGTTTCCTCCTCTATTTAAATAGGGTGTCTGGTAGGTTTGCACATGGGGAGTTTCCCAGGGCATCTTGTTGTAATTTTATTGTGATTGATGTTTATAAAACATCTATGTATGTATGTATTATGTGTCTGTCTGTCTATCTATCTATCTATCTATCTGCCTATCCTTAGTACTTTTTTATTTTTTTTTTAAATATTTATTTTTATTTATTACATGTATTTATTGTGTGTGTGTGTGTGTGTGTGGCCAGCTCAGCCCACCAGGGGGCGGGCTGGCTGGCATGTGGTGCTGGGGATCGAACCGCGGTCCCTGTGCTTTGCCAAGCTTGTTTCAAGTAGGTGCTTTAGACCACTGAGCCATCTCTCCTGCCCCTATCCTTAGTACTTTTTTATAGCTGTGACTCCAAAGTTAGAATATTGTGGCATCAGCAGAGCTGGTTTCAGGAGTTGGATCTTGCGCGTAGCTTGGTGTATCTAGCACACTTGTTGTTGTGGCTGCTGTTTGAACAATCTTTATATGAGATTTTATTGTGGACAGAAAGGGTCAGCATGTCACCGCTCTGAGATTTGTGTATCCTTCCGCTTAGCCTGTCGAGAGCAGTTCAGCCATCTGAGGACATCGATAATCTCCTGGCGCCACTTCATTTCTCTCTGCCCAGAGCTTTTTCACCTAGCAGAGAATGATGGTGCCGCCTGAACTCCCTCAGCTCAGATGGATGTTGAACCAAATGAAAGATGGTATGAAAATATTTCTGAAAATTACGAGGTTTCTGCAAACATTAGATGCTCTTAGGGACTATAAAATAAAAATAATTCCCTCAATCACCAAGAAGGCTAAAAGTTGTTAAATGTTTATATGCCGATTTTCCCAGTATGTATTATGTACTGAAGATAAATCCTGTAGTACAATGTCCTATTTTTCTTGTTATTACGTGCCAACTGGAAGACTAAGAGTTAAGTCGTTCTAGAAACTATCTGAATATTGTGAATAGTCAGCTGGTATTGCTCAAGGCAGTTAGTGGCTCTTTTATGAATGCACATTAATTTTGCATTAATTTTGATTTTATTAATTCATCAGAAAGTGAAGAGCTGGTTCCAGTTGTAAAAAAGATGTTAATAGCATAGACAACATTCTAAGCCAAATGAGAATTCTTCTGTATACATAGGACATGATTACAATGTAAGCAAAGGCCTGACAATGCATAGCCTAATTCTAATTGGCCTAGATTGAAAATGTTTTTTAATTCACATATTTCATTAAAGCAAATATTCCCCAACCTCTTACTGTAAATGGACGAGATGACTCCGTTTCTGTTTTTCTTGATTGGTAAACCATGCTTGAAGAGACCATCTGGAGAGTGTTGGGTTTCTGCCAGAGATTTAAATCAGGCTCGCAGAAAGCTACCTGCCTAAGGCAAGAAACTGCACCAGTTTAGTAAGAAAAACCACACTTCTATTTCACCATCTGGTAGAAGAAAAAGAGAAAAATTTTCATATTTGCTTAACAATGATAGTACTATATTACAGATAACAGTATTTCAAAATACAGTGGAGGAAATCAGGGAACCTAACTGGTAGAATTTGGAATTTAGTCTGATAGGAAGGCTTATCCAGGCGTTTCGTCTTGGTGCTGGTGGCGAATGTTTCAGTATGAGGGGAGAGACTAGACGAGCAGAGAGGAATACGCCAAGTTGAAAACCACCTCAGACTTATTTTGTGCGTAGAACTAAAAGCCTTAGATCTGTGTGGATTGGGATAATGGGATGGTAATCCTTTTTAATTTTTTTTAACAGATTTCTGCTTGGCAGAGTAATCAAATGCAAGAAGAACTAATCTGACCGCATTCTGAGTCCTGCCCGTGGTGAGGGCCGTCCACCCCAGACATTGTTCTGGGGTCCATCTGAGGTCAGCAGCGTGAAGATGACCAGCGCCTTCTTAGCATGACGAGCTTGGACCATGTGATCACTGCCCATCAGTCGGAATGGGTCTCCTTCAGCGAAGAGCCACTCTTCCCTGCCCTCTCTGAGGGTAAGGCGTGCTTTTGTTTCCCGACTGACAAGATTAGTAAAGAACCTTGTTTGTTCGTTTTTATGGATTCGGTTGGAAGATTTAGTCTTTGAATAAGATCTTATAAGAGGAAAAAGATTCAGTTTGGTCATGTTCCTGACATTTATGGATTTTTCCATTAGAAAGCCAGAGGAAGCATCTTGGTGACCATAGGGCCCCAAAACAGGGCCTGGCAACACCAGAGTCTTGGTTCTCTCCTTCCAAGGAATATAGGAATATTTATGAAGTACTTCGCTGGCAACCTTTCTTATGTTTACATCCTACCAGCAATTTGGGTTGTCTGCTTTTTGTTTTTTGTGGTTTTTTTCTGTCTGTGTTTGTAAAGTGCACTATTACAGTGGCAGGCTCTGGAGCCATACTGCTTGATCTCGAATCCTGACCTCATCCAGTGGTGTGCCCGTGGAGGAATTATTATTTACTCTCTCTGCACATAATCCCATTATCTGTCCAGTCACTGTTGTACCTACCTCAGGAGACTTTGGGGGGGTTAAATGAATTAATATATATATAAAGAACTTAGAACAGTGTCTGGCCTGTGGAAAGAGCTCAATACTGTCATGCTTGAGCACAGTGAAGGTGGTGACAGTGCTCCTTAGGGAACCGAGGCTCAGGAATGAAGGGAGGGGAGTGTCCAGGAGATCTTGCACAGCTGTGTCATTGTATTCTGTTCTGCCTCAGAACAACCTTGCCAGGGCCAGGTTGTCTCAGTTACTCTTCTCTCATTGCTGGGACAAATACCCGACACCCACAATGAAGAAGGAAAGGTTTATTTAGCTTACAACTAGTGGAGGGTTCAGTCCGTACTCAGCTGGCTCCAAGGCAGAGTGGCACAGGGCAGAGAGCAGCCGTTCATGGCTGCAGCAAAGAGCAAGAGTGGCTCTAGCAAGCGAGGCTGGCTAGCTAGCCTCTCTCCCCTCCTCACATTATGATGCAGATGTGTCTGCCCCAGGGCACTCACATCCGTAATCTTGGCATTGGATCATGAATTAATCACAAACCCTAGAAGCCACCCCAGGACTGCATGAGGCTTTGTGGGGGCAGCTAGGCACCAAGCATACCACCATGTGACATCAGCCAGCCTTCACCTGCAGCATTTGGAAAGTTGAGTGTGCAGCTGTGCCACGCAGTGCAGCGTCTGTGTGACCAATGATGCCCCGAAAAGCTGCAAATTTGAATTAAGAAGTGCTGAAAGCTTGATGTTCTTATCCTGAATTTCAAAGACCTCGCTAGTTAGAAGGCTTAAATATCAAAATGTATATTATTCAAAATAGCTTTTGATCTTGGAAATATAGCTCAGTTGTGCACTAGGCCCTGGGTTCCCTCCTCTTACTCCCCCAAAAAGTGCCAGGTGTGGAGGTGCACACTTGTCCTCCCACCTATTCCGGAGGCTGAGACAGGAGGATCATAGTTGGGGTGCCAGTTTAGGGCTAGCATTGCACAGTGCCCTGGATTCAATCTCAGGTACTACACACACAAAAAGACCCTCCTGATAATTTTTACTTTTTCATGTATAGCCATTAGAAAATTTAAAATTAAATGTGTCACCTTTTATTTCTGTTAGATAGTGCTAGTCTAAAGGCTCTGATTACATATAGGTTACCAGTTTCTTTGGCTAGTGGTAGGAAAAAGAACTTTCATATTAGTTCTTGCTTTTTGTGTGTGTGTGTGTGTGTGCAGTACTGGGGATTGAACTTGGAACCCTGTGCTTGCCAGGCAGGCACTTATTCTACTGAGCTATCTCCCCAGTTCTTGCTTTTTAAAAATTTTCATATAGCAAAATTGTATTGCACAGTATACATTTCCTGACTTTTAGCACATATAGAAATTTATATATCCTCCACTATAATCTGTATATAGTTCTTTTACATTTGATTCTTTTCTAAGGGAAAAAAATATCCCAGGAAAGCCTTTAGGTCACCCTGAGCGGGTCACTGGTACAGAGTTTGCATCTGGGGCTTGCAGACTCTGCTGTAGTCTAGATGGTAGAGTTTTCCATTGGAATGCTGTGTGTTCAGTGTGGAGAGAAGCTCAGCGGCTCAGCCACAGTCACTACAGTCTCTGTGGCCTTCACGGCCTTCATTTGTCCCGCTTAGCTGGGGTTTGTCTCTTGTGGGAGCTCTGTAGGCATTTTTCTTTCCTTTTTTTTCGGAACCAGGGATCAAACTCAGGCCCTTGTGCTTGCCAGGGAAGCACTTATTCCACTGAGCTGTCTCCCTGGCCCCTCCATAGGCATTTTTCATTCATGTTCCCCAAGCACTGGAGTGGATGCGGAGGCCCACCGTAACCATGCTCAGTGTAGGGGCAGCCAACAATAATTCCCATACTCTGAGAGGCTGAGCAAGGAAGACTGCAAGCTTGAGCCCAGCCAGCCGAGGCAGTTTAACAACCTAGTGGGCCCTGTCTCAAAGTGAGAAGTGTAGCGCACAGTGAAAATCGCATGTTCTATCCCTAGTACCATCCAGAAATTTTTTTTTTTTTTTTTTTTT